ACAGGTGTTGGTTGTTTGTTGCCACGTTTGATAAACACCTTATTTGCTACCACTTTTATGATTCCACTTTACAAGTCAGTTATTTTTTAGATATCTTATCTTTTTTCATATCATAGTTGCACCCTACTTCTTTAGAAATACATGAGAAGTGGGAAGCTCCCATTCATTAAAAAAAATAAGAAAAAAAAGCAGGAAATGTAGAAGTGGCTATCCACAACCACTTCAGTCATGGTTAGTTTTATTTGAATTTCAAATATAAACATAATTAGTAGACAAATAGTGAAACTCAAATAAAAATATTATTACTATAAAAGAACAAAAAAAGAGTAAAAACTAAAATGATACATATATGTGACTGCCCCATAACGAGATCACATACTAGATAAAATATGGAAAGTCTCTTAAATTAAATAAAAATCTATCAAAACAACAAATGAAAGACCTAACATAATTTTTTAATATAATTGATTTAAATAATTCATATCAGTGGCCCCGTAACGAGTACGAGAGTCATGCCTAGTTACAGATAATTTAGAAGATAAATAGATATTAGAGATAAATTTGGAGAAAGTGAGGGAGGTAGTTTAGGATAAATTTTAGGAGCATAGATTATTTAAGTTATCGAGAAAGTGCATCTAATTGGTTGTTTCAAAAACAACATAAAATTAAAAAAAGGGGAATTTTTCTAAACTTCTTTGTTTTAATATATATACTAGCGGGGACCTGTGTAATGCATGAGATTTATTAAGCCAAAGCTAAATAATAGAAAGCGCTATTTATTAAAATACTCCTTATAGTTTAATGGATTTACTAAAATCTACCTTATAGTTGGCATTTTACTAAAACACCACTTATAATTTGCAATGGATTTAATCAATCTTCCATTAGATGACAGTGGAAAACGACAGTGTTGACCCTAATGTTCATTTAAATAAATTTAATCAAAATAAATAAAAATAAAAATACCATTGTTGCCCTTAATAAGACACAAGCAACCACTTGTTAGCTATAGTTGGTCAATTTTGTTTTATATACAAAAAAAGTTTTAATGGTATTTTGGATGAATAATCATGGCCTAATAGCCAAACAAACACTCCTTAATAAAAGGTTGATTAAGTAAATAAGTTGTAAAATATATATAGGGTATTTTAGTAAAATGAAAATTACAACGTAGGTTTAAGTAAATATATAAAACTATAAAGTGTGTAGGAATGGCAATGGGGCAGGTTCGGGGCTAGGATCATATTCCCCGTCCCCGACCCCCGATTCTAAAATTAACCCCCATCCCCGATCCCCGATTCTAAAATTAACCCCCATCCCCGATCCCCATCATGTTTTCAGATAATAGCATTTTTTTAAAATAAATCAAAAATTTTAATTATAAATAATGTTTTAAATATGTTTTGATATATATATATATATATATATATATAATAAATAATGTAATAGTTTATTTAATATAAATAAAATTTAATATATAATCAGGGTCGGGGCAAGGCGGGGACCTCAACCCCATCCTCGACTCCGACCCCAACTGGGGATTCTTATTAATCCCCCATCCTCGTCCCCATGCCCACCCCGCCAAAACAATTCCCAACTCGGCCCCATTGGGTCGGGGAAGTTGGGTCCCCGTTGGGGATGGGGAAATTTGCCATCCCTAAATGTGTGTTATAGTAAATGACCCTAATAGAAACACATAAGAGTATACAAAATTTTTATATTCTCAGCTTTTTAAATAATTAATAATTATTTATATTTTATATATTACTTTTAATAAAATTTGTATAATACACAAATAACAATAATTAATTTCAGTTAGGTTTATTCATTAAACTGATGAAACCGACCAACCCAATTAACTCGGCCCAAGTTGGTCGGTTTTCTAGTACATTAGGTTGGATTTGGCTCAGAAAATTCCTAATTTGGCCAAGTTAGATCGGTTTCACTTTAACCATTTGTAAACTGACCAAAATCAAATGACTTAACCATATATATATATATATTATTTTAAATATAAATTTTAATATGGAAATGTGAGAAATTTTCCATATTTCTTAGTCTAAACTATTTTATATTATAAATATATTTTTTAATAATTGCATTGTAATTTTTAAAATTAAATTAAATTTTTAAGTTTAAATATTTTGAACGGACTGGCCAAACAAAAAAACCGACCCAAACCGATGCAACTTAAGTGGGTGGATTTTCATAAAAGGTTAGTCAGTTTTAGCTGACCAACTCCCTAACCTAATCAAGTCAATTTGGTTGGCCAATAGCCTACGGTCGAATCGAACCAACTCATGAACATTCATAATTTCAACTAAATTAATATTGTCATCTTTGATAAATAACAGTACTTTAGTCTCCAATAATTATTGAAAATTTATAGCAGAAATACACAATTATTGAAAATATATTGATAATGAAAAATATAATAATTACATAAATTACAAAAATACAATAAGTACTAAAAATATATTAACTTAGTCAATAAATAGTATAATCTCAAATGATAGTTTAATATCTAATAAATATTAATCAATAAATTATAACAAAAACACAATAAATACAATAAGTACAATAAATTAAAATTAAAAATTTCAACAATAGTAATTTAATCTCAAATAATTATTGAAAAATTTCTATTAAATGATAAAACAAAACAAATTTATACATAATCATTGAAAATACATTTATCACAAAAAATAATAAATAATTACTAAAATATAATAAATATTAATTATAGTACATATAATTATATAATAAATACATATTAAGAGTTTTAAATTATTATTAATAAATATTAAATTCTTTGAAAGTTATTTTCTCGAATTTTACTTGATATAAGTGAAAATAATTATTTACATTATTATTTAGAAATATTAAATTATTATTAATTTTGATATTATGTTATAATTATTTTTCTACTTTTTAGAATTTTTAATTTATTACATAATCTTTATTTTATCTATTTAAAACCTAATTATTTTAAAATTGTTGTTATTTAAAATATATAGTTATTTAAATACTTAAATAACATGTAAAATATTTAAAATTTAAAATATTAATTATTTATTGAATTTAACTATCCATAAAATCATAATTTATACTATTATTACATAATTTAATTATTAATTTTGTAATATATTAAATTATTATTAATTTCAATATTATATTATAATTATTTTTCTACTTTGAAGAAATGTTTAAAATTTATTACACAATTTCGTTATTTTAATTATTTAAAATCTAGTTGTGATAAATATTTCTTTATTTGAATTTTATTTGTTTAAAACTATTACATATTATTAAATATTGAAAAACATTTAAATTGATAATGGGGAAAAACATAATTTAAATTGTTAGTACATAATTTTGTGATATATTTTGTAAAAATATAAAATTATTTTTTGTGTTTTTAATAAATATTTTAAAGTTACTATATAATTTTGTTATAATATTTAAATAATTCTTAAACTTTTTAATCCAAACATTTTTCAAATAGATATAGATAAAAAGTAGAGAGAGGATAAATAGGAATTAGAGATAATTTAGGAGATAAACTCTCTACTAAATTAGAGATAATTTGGGAGATAAATATGAATTAGCGATAACTTAGAAGATAAATAGGAATTAGAGATAAATTTGTGGAAAGTGGGGGATAGTAGGAGATGTAGTTTAGGAGAAGATATTATTTAGGTTATTGAAAAAGTGCATCTTGTTGGTTGTCTTGAAAATGACATGGAATAAAAAAATAAAATAATCAAAAAAAGGATAAATTTTATTGACCGCTTTGTTTTATTATTTAGGTATATATATTGGTTCAAGTATCCATTTAATAATTGGATCGGTAGAAATTTGATCCCATGTCGAATACAAATTTATTATTTAGGTATAATATTAGTAAATTATATAATATAATACAATAATGGGTTTGTATAGATAGTAATTGAGACTTGTGCGATGCATGAACCTTTTTAAGTAAAATTAAAGTAGAAGTAGACCTACGACATATATCTAATTTAGCTGAACTGGTCCAATTTCATATTAGAGGCCTTGTAATGAGTATGCGAGTCATGCCTATTTATAGATAAATTAGATGATAAATAAAAATTAGAGATAATTTTGAAAAAAATGAAGGAGGTAATTTAAGATAAATTTTAGGAGCATAAAGTACATCTAATTAGTTGTTTAAAAAATGACATAAAATTAAAAAAAGGAAAGTTTTTTTAAAGTTCCTTGCTTTGATATATATATATATATATATTGGATCGATGGAAATTTGATCCCATATACAAATTTATTATTTAGGTATAATATTAGTAAATTATATAATATAATACAATAATGGATTTTAAAGTAGAAGTAGACACACTGACTCTAATTTCACATTACACACCGACTCTCCAGGTGAGAGAAGTGAATTTACTATGCTTTATTAAATATTTTTAAAAATTATCAACGTTATTTATTTTTACATGGGTTTCAATTTTTGTTAGATATTATTAAATATTTTATTTATAAATTTATATATAGTTTATGAAGTTTATAATAATAAATTCAATATTTTATATAATCACTTTGTAAGCTTTTCAAAATTTCTTAGCTTCAATGACAATTTTACAAAAAAAAAGCTTCTATGACAATAAGGCGGGTTTGGACTTATTCCGAATCCGAATTCAAGTGCGATATTTTGGATATTGGATCCGGGCGTGACTGAATGCGACAAACACCACCGGCTCCAAAGTTCAGACACCATACGGTGATACGGGTTCTTTTCAAGCCAAAAATAAGGTGATCGGGTACTTTCGTCTTTAACAATGAGTTGGCCTTACAACATAAGATTGGAATCTACCCACTTCAGAGCCGTTGATATCCTTGAGTGGATTAACACAAGGTCCTGGGCATCGCATGCAAGACAAGACGCAGGACTAGTGGTCCAGTGTAGTACCTGATAACATCTGTTGGATCTTTTTGGGTTACAAATAGCTCAGATCAGCAAACCAGCGATGAAGAATCGAAGTTATAATCTACACGCGACGGTGAAGTTTCATACTCTCTTTTGAACTGTACCCAATCTTCAATTTATCACCGAGCCGGCAACCCTTCATCTTCTTCCTCCCGCGAGCCAACCAGAGAGAGAGAGAGAGAGAGAGAGAGAGAGAGAACTTAACATAAATGGAGAATGCCTTGATGTTCACAACCTCACCTTCACGACCTGTGTGTTTCCCTCATGGCGTCTTCACCCAATTTAAGTTCAATCCTATCACTCAAACTACTCCTAGGAGACAACCCATTTCCATTAAGGCGATAAAAAGCTCCAGAAGGACCCTCTCGACAGACTGGAATATATCCAACTCTGCTGCTCCTTGGTTGCCCAAATTCGAAGAGCTTGATGCAACAAATATGCTCCTTCGTCAGAGAATTGTTTTTCTGGGATCTCAGGTTTATTTCAGTTTTGAAGAGACCTGCTCCCTTCAATATTCTTAGATGTATCTTTTTTACTCATTTAAAACGGTGTTAGCTAATCATATGTTGTGTTGTAATTTGCGATGCAGGTGGATAACATGACTGCGGATTTGATCATCAGCCAGCTGTTATTACTTGATGCCCAAGACCAGACAAAGGACATTAAATTGTTTATAAATTCACCTGGGGGCTCTGTAACTGCTGGTATGCCTAAAGTTCGCTTCTTCGTCTTCTCTCCTTGTGTTTTCTCATCTTTCATTGACTATTAATAAGGATACCTGCCGATGACTAATATTTAAAATATTTAAGTTGGCATTTTTCTTTTTAACCTAAGTTCGTCAATACAAAATTGTATGGTCAAGTTTTTTATATTCATTTTATGCAGAATTCCTGAATTATTTTTCTTGCTTGTTTTGACTGAGAATTTTCTTTTAAATTAATGAAAATCATATTGCTTAAAGCCACATTTGATTTTATGTAGGTAACTTCCAGTCCACTACTGAGTTTTAGGAATGAGGTGAAGAATATAAACATAGTGATAGATGCTGATCCTTATGGAAGGCTAGTTTTTTCTCTTACCCTGATGGAGGTCTTCTATCTGTACTGGTTTTTAAATATTGATTGGAAAAGAAAGCATAACTTGGAAAAAAAAGTGTCAGCACCATTGATGCTTGTTCTCATGTTCACTTCTTTGCGTTTGATAAGTAAAGCAATCAACTCGGTCATATCACCTGGATGCTTGTTCCAATCAGCATAGTGATTCTTCAAATACATTTAGCTAGTGTTGAGCAACCGTCTTTCTGGTTGGTAGAAGCATTTTCAACTCGTAGTCTGTTTAACCTAAGAGATTGGAATCCTGCTGTACCTATTGTCCATTTCCCTTCTTGACCAGCTTGTTAGTTAGAAGCAAAAGAGGGAAACAGAAGAAAATTGCTCTTCATGGTAAATACAATTGTGGTGCTAAATTCCTTCCTCTTCTTCCATTTGGATATGAAAAAAATCCTATGAGCTCAAATACATAGTCACCACTCACCAGTTCAAAGTCATATTTAGGGAGCCTACCCCTCCTAGAATTAAGTAATCCTATTCCGTTTTAGTTCAAAGTTGATAAAAAGGTTGTTAATTAGACCTGGTAAAACTGAACTACGTGGCATTTGCAGTTGGATATTGTACTTTTGTGTCCAACAATTACATACCTACCTTTTATCGGTAAACTAGCACCCACCTACCCTTTTGCCTAAGTGCTCAAGTCCCCACCTAGATGGCACATAGGTATAGTCGTATAGATCATGAAATGGTATTTTTTTAGAAAAAAATTACAGGAATTGATCCATATTGGTATTTAACATATTTTCACGTTGTTATCATTTGATATCGAAAAATAATAAATAATAGGTGGACATAATGAAATCAAGGCATATTATATCATTCTTTTCATAAAGCAATATTATTTCTAGTGATATATTCTATACAACAAAATCACTTTCGTAAAACAAAGCAGCAAGGCATATGCAAGCTCAACCTGAACCTTACCTTTTTGCCAATGGGGTTCAAATTATTAGCTTTCATTTTTATTTCAATTCATCATAGACATTAAGCAAAAATCCTATGATGAATTGTTTTTTATTTTTTTTTACGTGCAAATTAACAGAACTTACACTATTACAACAAGTCATAGGATTTTTGATTGACACAAGTTATTATAATGAAGAAAATTTTCAAACTTTTTCTTTATTTATTTAGTTATTCCTTGAATTAGTCAAGTTTCCATACTATTTAAATTTCCTCATTCAGTAACCAAAAAATTCCTATTATTTGAGGCTGCCACAGCCCTGAAAGGATAAAGGCACACAAAACAAGAAAATGCAATAAAAAATTGCCATAGTTACAAAGTGACATAAAGAACTTGATGATCCTGAAGGAGATGATGAAGGCATGGGTGATTCCACTCCAAGGGTTCCTTATAACACCTCTGGTACTTTAAGCCTTATGGGTAGGCGGGTGTAAGTGCCTAATCTGGTACCTTACGGAAAGGCAGGCACCTAACATGCATGGAAAAAACAGGTGGGTCTCCAGGGGAACCCCCATAAAGTGTTGTCTAGGTGACACCTTGGTAACTATGCTGCAAGTTGCCACTGTGCAATGCTAGAGGTTAGGTCTGCATCCAGTCCGCCCCTCCCAATACTCCCGGTCTCTGGGACCATCATTGGGTAATGTCTTTTTCAACTGTTTAGAAGAACCTTTATGCCCATCTGATTAGTATGTGTACTGATTGTGGTGCAGTTGTATTAGCATGTGAACTTGCAATTTATGTCCACTTGTATTATTATGTGATCTTGGATTGAACTTGTGAGATCATGGTTGTGGTGCAGAATGCCAATAAACTGATCTATGTCCAAAGAATGATCTTTATGAATATGCATGTCCTTTTTAGCAATGACACTATTATAGCATGAAGAAGCTGAGTTACCTGGGAAAAACAAAATATTTCATACACAAAGCATGAACATACATAGTACATACAATTGAATGGATATAGGAAAGTGTTTCAATTAAGTCTCTTAACAAACGGTTTGGAGATTTTAGTCGTGATATTCCTCTACACTAGCTAGATATCTGTTTTTTTTTTCCCGATTTTAAGTATACAATGGTTATGGCTGGTCTGGTAATGCATGATGTTGTAATTCTTCTGTTCAGAATTAATTCCTGTGTTTACTGTCTATCTTAGTTTGTGCTAGATACAATTTAGTGCTTCTATAATCCATTTATTATTTTAACTCATAAAAAAACTCATTACAGTTATATTTGAAAATTTCTACCTTGGATCATGACAATGCCATGATAGCAAAGGGATAACCCCTTATGAACTTCCCACTACCACACTCAAAGAACTCTATTTTGTTGTATTGATAATGTCACTATCCTTCAATTTATTGCTACATTCAGGAATGGGAATATATGATGCGATGAAGTTGTGCAAGGCAGATGTCTCTACTGTTTGTCTGGGTCTTGCAGCATCTATGGGTGCATTTCTTCTTGCTTCTGGAACTAAGGGAAAGAGGTTTTGCATGCCAAATGCCAGAGTTATGATCCATCAACCACTTGGAACTGCCGGAGGAAAAGTGAGTAATTACTTTCTGCTTAGTGTTTTATTGTCATTTGTTGTCAATTATAGAGAAGCATGCAAGCTTGACATAGGCATCAGATAGAAGAAGAAAAAAACAGGTAAAATACTGTGGAATTTATTACCTCCAACTAGGAGCTGCTGCAATATATAAATGGCAAAGATAACTCATAGGGGATGGTTTCCCAAAAGGTACTCTAAATTGTTTTCTCCAAAACTGAGAAAAAAAAATCTCTATGCACTTCCCAACTTGTCCCAGCTGTATTTGTCATATACTTGGTTACCCAATTGTCAATATCCAACTAGGAGCTGCTACAATATATAAATGAGAAAGAGAACTCCTAGAGGATGGTTTCTTAAAAGGAGATGCAAAAAAACAAAAAAGGTTTCTCAAAAGGTACTCCAAATTCTTTTCTCCAAAATTGAGAAAAATAATAATCTCCATTCATTCCCCAACTTGTCCCAGATGTATTTGACATATACTTAGCTACCCAATTGTCAATATCCACAATCATCTCCTGCTCTAATGAGCCGTTTGATGACACCTGAAGTTGCTGAACTGAATGATTTATTGCTTTGTATTTTTGGTGGATAACATAATTAAAAAAATAACATGGTGAATAATCTACTAATCTATCAAACTTCAGCTTCAGCTATTAAGGAGCTCACAATGTCCTGTTTCGGGTTGGCTGCATGAATTCTGTCAACTGTCAACTGCAAAGGACCAAGACTGTTTGTTATCCAGTCCAATCATCATCTAAGCCTTGTCCCAACTATATGTTTTGGCTACATGAATCCTATTTCACCATTCTGTTCAGTTCAGTTCCACACCCATGACCCATCATTAAATCATGGGCGCTTAAATAAGTCCTTTTCGGTTCTCAGTCCAACATTTTTATTAATTATTTTTTCTTTCTTTCAAAGAAAGCTTAGCCATGGAATTTAAGCTGCATCTCTTTGAGTGAGAAGTAGACAATTCTTTTCTATCCAATCAGTGGCATTTAGGAGAGTTCCCCCCCCACTAAACAAATCATAATTGGTTGCAAACCATTTGTATATTAACATATACACTGCTAGTGTCATTTAATACTTCTATAAATTACTATGTTTGAACCTTTCTTCTACCATAGAGTGGTGATGCAGACTAGGAAGTGTTTTTTTTTAATTGTAAAATAAAATTTATTAAAAGGAAAAGAAAATACTAAACTCCAACTTAACACTCTCAGATTTTGCTCAATTATTCTGCTGCTCTGGAAACTTGGATAGGAACTTCTTTGCTTCTCATGCAAACCTTCTTTAGTAGCTTTGGGTTGTTTAGTGGGTGAAATTCCATTTTCATATTTGGCTCTTCCAATTGGTGCAAAAGCTTCAGCGTCATCAACTTGGCAGCCGGTTTTAGATAAAATTGATTAAAGATTGGCTGGGTGGAAAGGAAAATATTTATCATTTGGTAGTAGAATCACTCTAATCAAGAGTGCTCTTTCTAACCACTTCTCTTGGTTAGGGAAGTGGAGGAGCATCTAAGGTTATTGGACACACTACAAACAGTTGAGCTGAAGTTGGAAAGATCAGATTCAAGATGGTGGAAAGAGTGTAAGAATGGTGTATTGCTTGGTTAAATCCTTTTACAAAGCATTGGCAAGGAATTAGGTTGAGAAGACCCCAATCAGGGGTGTTTGGGGGAATTCAATTCCTCCTACAGTTGAGGCCTTTGTTTGGTTGGTGGTTTGGACATCATTCTTCTTGACAGTGTGGCCGGCCAGAGATAAGAGGAAGAAGAGAGAAGAGAAGAGAAGAAGAAGAGAAGAGAAGAGAGGAGAGAAGAGAGAAGRTTTGCAATGTAACAGTACTGGCGGTGCCAATATTTATTTTACTATATATAGGGCGAT